TTTTCGGATGGCTAGATTCAAACTAACAATATTATAATGAACGAAAAATGAAGGCTTTGCGCTATGTCAACGTTTATGTTCTGTACACAAAAGAAAGTGTTCAAATGTAACATAAATGACATGCACAATTGCCAAATAAGGAAGTCATTCGAACTCGTCTATAATACTTTCGAACACGTCCGTAGGCGTGTTATGGAGGTGGTATTGTTTCTGGTGTCTAATGTATTCGGTTTTACTAACACTAGTGTATGGATTGGCGTAACGTGTTAAAATTCAATGAAAGACAAAACTACAACGAAAACAATTAATGGACAATTTAAATGGTATAGTTTTGTCATTACAAGCAGTGTACTGTAGTAAGCTAATGTGTATGTAAACCTGACCATGCTTGAAACCAATTTTTGTCCTATTTTGACTTTCAGACCATTTCAAGACTATTAAATCCCGTTGCATTGATTATATTCCCTACGGTATATTAGAGAAGAAAGATGGGGCATTTGATGTATTTTATGAATTGTCTAAGCGCCTAGTAATATCTCCAAGAAACACATCTTTCCTAGAGGATTTATTATCCTATGCAGGAAAGCAGAGTCTGGTGACTTTAATTGAACGGTTTCATCGCGGAAAAACCCCAGGTAATTAAACACGTATTGTCAGAAAAAAATGAATTCATTCAAATCCAGTGAATATCATAAATACCTGTTGACATAGTTCAAAGAAAAATAATATTTACTATTTGTTTTGTGATTAGTATCCGTATCAACTGGTGGTGGCAAGAAACGAAGAATTGATTCTACACCTTAATCATAATGAGTAAGTAATATCCGGATGCATCTTGGATATATAGAACTAGATCATAGATACGTAATCATGTGTAACCAAGCGTATATGACGTGGTGTTTTATTGACAAGACTGTCACACCGAGTAATGAAATGTTGCAATGCATAGCATCGATTATTGCTGGTTAGACAGACGCTGAACTGAATTACTTTCTTTTTATTCACAGCATTGTTGCCGATTTTGAAAGACATGTTTTACAAGAAATGAGTATTCCTTCTGCCATCTGGTTTATTTGTGTAAACATGA